TCGGCTCCGTGCCCTGAGGCGTGTGGAATCTTACTTTCCCAACAAGGGATCAGACTCGTGTCCCCTGCATGGGCAGGCCGATTCTTAACCACTGGACCACCAGCAAAGCCCCCAAAGGTTTTTAATCAGGAGATAGGAGGTGTATTATCTTGAATGCAAATTATATACAACTTTACAAAAAGTAGTGAATAGTGGGATTTATTCTCATTATCTAAGGGCCCTCGCTGCGCCTCTGACACCATGTTTGGCCCTTTAACGCCCCACCTGCCCCGAGCGCCGCCGGCCACAACAGCCTGCGGTGAACGGCAATCGTGATGGCGGCTGACGCCCGCATCCCGGTTGGCACCTGCCGCATGCTGCTTTGGGTCCTCCCCACACTTCAGCTCCTTCCCCCTCGAGGTAGACGGCCCACCTGCCTCCACTTCCTGGGGAGGAGACTGTGGACGGCGCTGCACACAGGATCAGTGAGTTCTGGGCTGAAACTCCAACCTGTCATCTCTGGTGTGACATCTAGACCACCCGGAGACGCGGGTGGCCCCAGCTCGGGGACGGGTGGTCAACTGTGGAGGAGCCTAAGTAAGATAAAGTCTGTGCTCAGCGTCAGGGCGGGGGTGGGAGGGAGACAACGGGGCTTGGGAGGGGTGAGGCTTATACTGGATGGAGATGAGCGGGCCCGTGACGGTGGCAACAGCATCCATGACACCCCTGCCCCGCCAGGCGGTGTGTTTACGCGCCTCTGTGCACATACTCAGACCTCCCGACGATCCTTCAGTCCTCAGGGCATGAGAAGATGTCCTTGGTAAAAACAAGGGTGGAAATATTCAGGAAACACTAAAAGGACCGAAGAGCCACCTTGTGTGTGAGTGGAGTCTCAGGAGGAGGGGAGCAGAGATCAGAGCTGAAAACTCACAGAGAAGATGCCCAGGCTAAATGTGCAGAAAGACAGCTCTTCCCGAAATAGAACATGCGAAGGGCGAGAACCACACCATGTGCCAATCACTGAAACGCGGGCAAGGATAGCGCAGGGGCGGACGGGCTCCCGGGTGCCCGCCAACCCGCCGCAGGGCCGACCCTCGGGAAAGGGGAGGAGGGGAGGACCACAGAGCCTGCGGGGCAAGGGGAGGGCGCGGGGAACAGCACGGGGAGTGGGGGGCCCGGGTCACAGACCGTCCTGACCACCCTCAGCGGAAGAGAGCCTGCAGGAGGGGCGCTGAGCAGCCTGTGAAGGGCGCCAGCGTCTTCAGTGTCGCCTCAGATACTCAAGGCGTCCTGCGGCTTCCTTCGTGACTCCTTAACCCATGAGCTATAGAACAGGCTTTGCTTAATGTTCAGGTGCTGTGCAGAATTTCTGATTTCCTGGTATTGATTTCCCATTTACGTCCCCACTGATCTGACAATGCGACCTGAATTCTAGACTTTCACCTCCATCCGCCCTTGAGTGCCTCTGCCCCTCAGACTTGAAACAGCTCTCCAGATTCAAGGTGCTGGGACACGGGACACGTGTACAGGACGGGACGTGTGTACAGGACGGGACGTGTGTACCAGGACGGGACACGTGTACAGGACGGGACGTGTGTACCAGGACGGGACACGTGTACCAGGACGGGACGTGTGTACCAGGACGGGACACGTGTACCAGGACGGGACGTGTGTACCAGGACGGGACACGTGTACCAGGACGGGACGTGTGTACCAGGACGGGACGTGTGTACCAGGACGGGACACGTGTACAGGACGGGACGTGTGTACCAGGACGGGACACGTGTACCAGGACGGGACGTGTGTACCAGGACGGGACGTGTGTACCAGGATGGGACGTGTCCCAGGACGGGACGTGTGTACCAGGACGGGACGTGTGTACCAGGACGGGACGTGTGTACCAGGACGGGACACGTGTCCCAGGACGGGACGTGTGTACCAGGACGGGACGTGTGTACCAGGACGGGACGCGTGTCCCAGGACGGGACGCGTGTCCCAGGACACACTGCATCGTGGAGGCTGAGCGGCCTGTTTTTGTTGTTGTTTGAGCGTTGGGAAGAATTTAAACACTTCCTGATTTGAACACTTTAAATCTTGTTTAACAAAAAGCTTAGGTATGATGATACTGTTCCCTTTCATTGTAGAACTAGTTTAGAATCTTCTTTCCTTAAAAAAAAAAAGGAAAATTGAATTAAATCTAAATTAATTCAAAATGCTTTTTAATGTTAACCACAGCATTTACCCCTGGGTTGTGAATACCCGCTGGAGGAGGAAATGGCAACCCACTCCAGTATCTTGCCTGGAGAATCCCATGGACCGAGGAGCCTGGCAGGCTATACAGTCCATGGGGTCGCAAAGAGTCAGACACGATTGAACAACCAAGCACGCGCGCGCGCATACACACACACACGCACACACACATACACACAGCATTTACACTGCATTCACATGCTTTATGACCAGCAATACACCTTCCATTTGGCCATGAGAAGAATACATATTCTGCATTACTTGGGTACCACGTTTCCATAAATCTCTTAGGTGACATGGGTGAATCATGTTCAGCTTTTCTATATCCTACTATTTTTTCCTCCATTTAGGAGTTACTAAGAGAGAAGTAAGAAAATCTCCATGTATAAATGTCAATTTCTTTACTCTTCTCTGCCAATTTACAAGCTTGTAAATGCTTAAAATGTATAATTGTCATACTTCCTGCCGAATTGGCCCTTTGATCATAGACAAACATTCTTTTTCTCTCTAAAAATATGTTCAGCCTCAAAGTCTAGTCGACCTGATATTTGTAAAGCTTCTGTTTTCCTTTGGTCTGGGCTGAAGTGATACATATTTGTTTTTATTGGTATTCAGTTCATTTCAGTTGCTCAGTCATGTCTGAATCTTTGCACCCCATCAACTGTCCATCAGAGCTCCCTGTCCATCACCAACTCCCAGAGCTTGCTTAAGCTCATGTCCATTGAGTTGGTGATGCCATCCAACCATCTCATCCTCTGTCGTCCCCTTCTCCTCCTGCCTTCAATAATATCAATTCTCAAATTTCCTCTATGCTTATTTAACATACATCCCTTGTAAATAGTTGTTGTTTTAATACAACCTGACTTTTTCTCCTAATTGCTGTCTTTATACCATTTGCAAATAATGTAAATACTGGTAATGTTTTTACTGGAATATTTTCATTATTTGCTTTCTATTTGTCTTCTCTATAACTTAATTCTTTACTCTTTTTTGCTTATTTAAGATTTTTTATGGTTCCCTTTTTCCTCAATGTTTCTCTTTTTAAAAATTTATATACTCTTCTTTTTCTCTTCTTGCATTTTTAAGTCTGAAATCATTTTAAAATACAATTTTAAAGAATGAGGTTTAAATCTCCCCTCTAATTTTAGCATTCATTCATCACTTAACCAAACCACCAACTTCTATGTTGACTGTGCTACCATGTCTGAGCTTGTCCTGCTAACCATTGCCGCACGGTCCTGGAGCCAGCAGTTTCACCCAAAAAGATATTTTAATACAAATATTTTCATTGAAATTATGCCAACTCTGACAAGCATCCCCTGAATCTGAATTTTCGAAATTCTATTGAACCAATTTAATTCTTTCTTCAAATGTCAGTACTTGGGCAGATAAGGTACTCCCCACATACTTCATTTGATTTTATTGAAATACTTTCATTGGGGTCACATTTTACATTTTTTGAAAGGGTATGATTAATAGTTTTACCACCACGTCAATTTTGCTAATTAGTTTTTGCCTTTGGGGATTTTTGAGGGAACTGGGTCAGTAAGGTCCCCCTGAAGGCGTTAAAGCGTGCGCGTCTTACTCTGCTTTCCAGCACAATTCACTCCTCCTTGGCTGATGGGTCACCGCCAGTTTACTCAACTTTGGCTGCTCGCTCTGATCTTAACAGAACCGACAGCTGGCACGTATTAACTCCCCTAGGGCTTCTGGTCACCCCACAATGCAGGTCTCCTTGCTACAGATGAACTGTGCCCCTCCCCCCCACAATTCATATGTTGGAGCCCTAACCCAAGAGAGTGTGACCCAGGGTCCTTACAGAGGCTGTTAGATTAAGTGAGGTCCCCGGGGTGGGGCCCTGGTCCAGCGGGCCTGGTGTCCTGTAGGGAGAGGAGATCAGGACACAGATACACATTCCACATCCTAGGGGTAGGACTTCAACACATGAATTGTGGGGAACGCAGTTCATCTGTAGCTGGAAAACTAGTTTCACAGGGTGACCAAGAGGCCCAAGTGAGCTAATATTTGCCAGCTGTGTGATGAAGAGCTGGGAGGCGCTGCAGCGCCCTGACCCGGCGCCGGGATCAGCTGCCCGGCCTCCACCAATCCTCCTGGTGGGCAGATATTACAGTCATTACGGGAGGTTTGACGATAATAACAATAACAGGGATCTGCTCAGATGCATCCAATCCACGTTCAGGCCTGCACCTGCTCCCAACACGTCTCTGAACCGCGTTCCAAACTAAAACATCACAGAATTGTTGAGGCTTTCATGAGCATCTCATCTAAACATGTAACAGCAAGACAAGGTGGTGTTTCAGGCTGGGAAGAATGGGGACAACGTGGTCCCCAGGGAGAGCTGTCTGGCTCCTCAGCAAACCCAGTGCCTCAGCTGGAACCTGGAGCCGGGAGCTGGGCGGAGGGGTCTGGGGGTCCCCGGGGCTCCATGTCCCCCGCCCTCTGGGAGCAGCACCAACGTGGGGCTCTGCTCCGACGGCCGTGTTTCTGGGGACTGAGGGACTCAAGGGCCGCCACCTGCAGTGCTGTGAGTTTCACCCGCGAGTCGGGAGTGCAGACCCCTCCCGCCTGGGTCACAATAACTGCTGTGGAGCCTCAAAGCCTGGAAATCGCTTTGATCTCATGCTTGAGGAGCTCCTGGCTGATGGATGGCAGCCGCGGACCCACCCCGTACCCACGGAGCTGCACTAATTTGCAAACTAAAACAATATTAGCGAACCGTTAATGGTCCGTGAAACTGCAGCGTGGCCGTGATGGCGCCCAGAGTGACAGCTGCGCACCTGTGTTCCCGCGTGGCTGTGAGCGCCGAGGTGCTGAGCCCTGGCCCTCGGGGGGCTGGGCAGGTGGTGGCCGAGACCCTGAGGACGTGCGAGGCTGGCGCGGGACGGGGGCCACGCCAGGCCACCGGCAGCCACCTCCGCTCACAGCCAAAGCGCGGCCTGTGCCGGCTCCTGCTCACCAGGAGCCGGGTCTGCTGGAAACGGCCCTGGGCCCCGGCCGCCCTGCGCGTCCTGGGCGAGTGGTTCCCCTGGACAGGTGGAGCCTGGGATGCTAAACAGGCCTCGGGGTCTGCAAGGACCACCCATCACCGTGCCAGCACAAGATGCTACGTGCTGTCTCGTCAGGGCGCCGTGTGCTGGGTCAGCAGAGGGGGCCACGGCAAGGCCCACGAAGCCTTGAATATGGAGCCTTTGCGCCCATGGGAGCAGGATTCGGGTTGAGAGAAAGCTGATGACTTGCATGGGAAGGTCAGCGAAGCTGCGAGGCGTGGCAGTAACGTCCAGGCACAGTTGCTGTAACCAATAACGGGACAGTATCTGGGGACATGCGCGTCTGCCTGTCCGAGCAGCACGGCTTCTGTACAAACTCTAATGTTGCCCCAGGAGCACGGAGGACTCCAGGCAAGGGCTAGCTTCAGACTCATCACTTCGCAGGCAAACCACCCCGGGTCCCACGGGAAGGCTACCCACTCAGCATCAGGAGGGCAGCTCGTCCTAAACACCCGGCCGAAGGGCCACCTCTTCCCACCCCCAACATTCCTACTCACCCAGAGGGACCTGCAAACACACATCAGCACCAAGTCGCAGTCTGTCCAGGGGGGTTTAGAATGCGACACGTCCCCGGAGAGCCCGTTGGCTACTGCCTTCCGCGTGCGCATGGAAATGTGTGTGTGCGTGCTCGTGTAGGCAGAGGGGGGTTGGAGGAGAAAGAAAGAGCACTCTGATTTTTAAGACTGCATCGTTAACTTCATCCTAGGAGCTCAGAATCAGCCAGGCTCCCAGCCACGTGGAGAAATCCCACGCTCCGTCTCTAACTCTGTAACAAAGGCACCTCATGGAAGCTCCCTGGAGCGAGCGGCCCCCCGCAAGGCCCCTGCCCGGGACAGGGGCTCCCCAGCTGTCAGCTGTTCTTCCTCCCACGGCTCAGGAATCTGCTGGCCCGTAACTTCTGAAGGACCTCACTCCAGAGCTTTCTCTGAAAGCCTTTATCCAGAGCTGCTCCAGGCCACCTTTGTTGGGGTTGGCTGTGGGCAAGATAGAGAACTGCCCCCAAAGGGCTTCACCCCACAAGGATGAGGCCGGCCCCCTCCCAGGACGTACCCCAGGCCTCAGAGACCGGAGCCCCCCTGCCCCCACCCAGGGTCCTGCACGCCACACAAGACTCGGCTTTCAGCACCTTGACCCTCCCGACAGGCCGTGATCATGTCCCCCTGAGATCAGGGCCCCGGGATCAGAGCCGCCGCCCACTCTGGGGGCGCACCTCCCTCCTGGTTCAGACGAATTCTCCCCAAACTTCATGTCTACGCCCCCCAAAGGTGAGAGTGGTTATCGTTGTTGCCATGATCACAGCGTCTGTCCTGGATTTATGATCCTGAAGGCAAAGTTCAGATGTTTGCTCACTGTCGCCTGAGGCCCCCACGGGCTTAAAGCTGCACCGCGCCGGCATCACTGTCTAACCTGAGGCTCACAGACAAGCTGGGGATGCAGCCCCACTGCCTCCAACCTGCTCTGGCTCAGAGAGCAGGGTGCAGGGAGGCAGCGGCCGGGGCCACAAGGCCGATTAGGACGTGGCGACGCTGGGCCCAGCCTCCTCCGCCCCACGAAGCCGGCTTCTCCCCAGAGACATGGTTCGTCCCTGAACAATCAAAGCCACAGAAGCATGAACAGTCACAGTGTCGTCTCAGGGCTGGAATTGCTCTGACCGTCCTCCTCCTAATGACAGCCTCGCCGGGCGGCCGGCAGGGAGGTCAGCGCAGCGGGTCCCGCCCCCTGAACTTCCCGGGGCTGCGGTAACAAGGCACCCCGAGTGCGCGGCCCTCACATCCGGGGGCCGGAAGCCCGAGGTCACGGTGTCGACAGGGCCGTGCCTCCTCGGCAGCCTCCGGGGCTCCTTCTTTGCCCTCCGCTTAGCTCCTGGGGGTCCCGGAGGCCCTGGGCGCTCCTCGGCTCACAGACGCGCACCTGCTCTCTGCCGCCTCCTCGCGCCTGCAGCCTGTGTGTCCCTGCGTCAGCATCAGACCGCTCCTTCTTAGCGCCCCGGCCATGAGACTTAGGCCCACCCACATCTGCATGGTCTCATCTAAACACGGCTGCACTTGTAAAGACCTTATTTCTGAATAAAGTCTTGTTCAAAATATTAGGAAAGACTTAGGAATTCAAACTGTTCTTGAAGGAGCACAATTCACACCCTCAAACCACTGCACACACAGCTGAGGATGAGAACTGGGCCACGGGAAATAATACTGACCCATGCTATTAAATCATTGTCATTTAGTCGCTCAATCGTGTCCAACTCTCTATGGCCCCATGGACTGTAGCCCACCAGGCTCCTCTGTCCGTGGGTTTTTCCAGGCAAGAACGCTGGAGTAGGTTGCCATTTCCTTCTCCAGGGGATTAAATCAAAGAGGGGATAAGCTCATTAACATGTTACATCATCCTGTTTTTAATAAAAAGCCTGATCATTGCATTATAATAACTTTTCCAAAAGAACAGTCAGCAAGAATTAGTTTCAGGATCGATATCCTCAGAAGGACATGTTAATCAAATGAAAGCTTAATTCTCCTGATTTAGAATTTAGTTAATTTAGACAATGGTGGAGCCATTACAATTTGATGCATAAAGACATAATACACGTTTATGATGTAAAACAGATGCAGAACTAGCCAAAATCACAAGAGGTCGTCTTTGCTGACAGGAGACATTACAGGTCTGTGTCGCTTATTGCCATGAACTAAGGCCCCACACCGCCGTGCTGAGCACGTTCTCAGCGTCCGAAGTTCATCATTGCCTCACTCATGGACTCAGCCGAGTGTCACGTGACGGTCTGACTGACCGGCAAGTGCAGGGTTTGGGGATAAAGGCACTGATGATGCTGCTGCAAACCCGCCACAGGGGTGAGCTCAGAGCCTGGTGACCCGAAGCAGGACAGAAATGCAGGTGTCCGCACAGCCGTGTCCACCACATCCTCCTGGAGCAGGAAGCCCCATCAACACAAGCAAGATAGCTTTACACAAGGAAAATTCTAACTTACGCCAGCCCAGGGAGAATATTTTTTTCCTTTTTAGGGCTCAGGTAAATCGGAATTCCCAAGGAAGGGGGACTTAGAAAGCTGGGCTGGACAGCAGGGCAGTGACCCCATGGGGAGGCCACCGAGGGCAGCCCCGCGGCCAGGAGGCATCTCGGGTCAGCCATGTCTCCAGAAGTGGACGGGACACAGACCTCTTTGGAGAAAGTCACTCTCCATGTAACCTCCATGATTCTCTAACAATCGGGGATTAAAATCTCCCCAAAAGGAGCTTACATCGAAAAATCACCACACACACGAGGGAAACACCTCCACGAATAAGTCGGCAGGAATGTAACACACAATAGCTTTGTCCCCACCTGAACATAACATGCGAAAACATCAACTGCAGAACATAAACCAAGCATTTGTTAAATGTTAAAAACGTTAAACTGAAATTATGAAAAAATGAACAAGAAGCAAGAGGTAGTGATGAATTGGCAGAAATGGGGAAAAATGACCCCCTCGAAATGGAAATTGTAATTGTTGACATAAAATTCAGTGCATGGGCAAACAGCTGAAGAGAGAAAAATCTACACGCTTCAGATAGATCTGAAGAAATTACCTAAGTGCATCACGTGAATAGCAGGAAAGATGGACGCTCTGGAGGTGGGGGTAAGCCCTGTGAGTCAGAGCATCCCTCGCATGAAGGTACAAACACCGGGCAGAAAGCAAATACCAGCCACGGTCACAGAACACGCGTGACAGACAATCACATCGGGTGTCAGCAAGAAACACGAATACTTTACACTCACAAGTTTGGCAACTGATGGACACATTCCTAAATGATAATTAGAAGGTACTTTGAAGTGAAGGATGGTGAAGATACCGCATAGCAAGGCAGGTGAGATTCGGGAAAAGAGGAACTTTGAGAAAAGGTACAGTATTTAAACCTAGGATGTGAGGGGCTTCGACTGGTGGTCCAGTGGTTAAGACTCCAGGCTCCCAATGCAGGGGGCCTGGGTTCAATCCCTGGTCAGGGAACTGGGTCACACATGCCACAGCTAAGATGGTACAGCTAAATAAACAAATAAATAAATATTTTAAAAACCTAGGATGTAGAAACAGCATATTAAAAAGCAGAGACATTATTTTGCCAACAAAGGTTCGTCTAGTCAAGGCTACAGTTTTTCCACTAGTCATGTATGGATATGAGAGTTGGACTATAAAGAAAGCTGAGCACTGAAGAATTGATGCTTTTGAACTGTGGTGTTGGAGAAGACTCTTGAGAGTCCCTTGGACTGCAAGGAGATCCAACCAGTCCATCCTGAGGGAGATTAGTCCTGGGTGTTCATTGGAAGGACTGATGCTGAAGCTGAAACTCCAATCCTTTGGCCACCTCACACGAAGAGTTGACTCATTGGAAAAGACCCTGATGCTGGGAGGGATTGGGGGCAGGAGGAGAAGGGGACGACAGAGGATGAGATGGTTGGATGGCATAACCTACTCAATGGACATGGGTTTGAGTAAACTCTGGGAGTTGGTGATGGACAGTGAGGCCTGATGTGCTGCAGCCCATGGGATTGCAAAGAGTCGGACACGACTGAGCGACTGAACTGAACTGAGGATGTAGAATGCTGCAATATAGAAAATAAAAAGATAGAGGCCACAAGAAACACTAAATATAAGTGAACTAATTATCTAAAGGCTTCAGAGGAAGAACAGCATGGAGAAATAAACAGCATCATTGGTCCTGTGAAAAAACTAATCAAATAAACCAAGTCTCTACTGAGACAGATGAACAGGAGGAAAGGAGGTAATAAATCCTCAGCATTGTTAAAAAGGAAGGGCTGGGCAGGGGCTAGCCAGAGCTGTAGCAGAGGGTGAAGGGGTAAAAAGAATACGTTTCTGTGTTTGATGATGTACTAATTTTACTTTTTTTAATCAGAGTATACTTGATTTGCAATGTAGTTTTAGTTTCAGGTATATAGGAAAGTGATTCAGACACATAGATATGCATTCTTTTTCAGATTATTTTCACATATAGGTTATTTACAAAACAGAAACAGACTCACAGACATAGGAAAAAACGTATGGTTCCCAAGGGGACACATTGGCAGGAAGGGTGGTTTTGGTAAGGTAAGGAGTTTGGGACGGACTTGCACGCACTGCTACATTTAGAACAGACAACGAGCAAACACCTGCTCTTTAGCACAGGGAACTCTGCTCAGCAGTGTGTGTGTGTGTGTGTGTGTGTGTTTATATACGGGCTTCCCTGGTAGCTCAGTGGTAAAGAATCTGCCTGCAATGCAGGGGATGCAGGAGACGTGGGTTCAGTCCCTGGGTCGGGAAGATCCCCTGGAGGAGGGCACGGCAACCCACTCCAGTGTCCTTGCCTGGAGAATCCCATGGACAGAGGAGCCTGGCAGCTATAGTCCACTGGGCTGCAAAGAGTCAGACATGACTGAAGTCGCTGAGCACGCATATACAGATATACATACACATCTATGTGCACATACATGCAAATATAAATCCTTTTTCAGATTCTCTTCCCTTTTAGGTTAATACAAAATACCAAGTACAGTTCCCTGTGTTAGAGAGAAAACTTTGAATAAATCTATCAAGCACTTGAAAACTTAAATAAAATACACAATTTTCAAAAAAAAAAAAAACTTCAGAAAGAAACAGAAATTCTGATAATCCCACAAACATTAAACAAATGTCATTAGACTTAAAAATACTAGATCCAAATGATTTTAAAGATATATTTTTTCAACCTTCCAAGGATAGACCATTCACATTTATAAAGATTCTTGTAAAGACTAGAAAAGGAATAAATATTATCCAAATCTTTCAAGGAGCTGAATAAAATCTTGATAACAAAACAGAATATGGAGGTTAAAATCTTATGCAAAATGTTAGTAGAATTATCTAGTAATCTATAAAAAATAATTATTATGTTTGTTTCATTCAAGGCATGAAAGAGTGGGTTTACATAAGAAAAATGTAATATCATAGCTCACCAAGTTAACTTATTAAAGGAGAATAACCTTATAATTATCTTAAAATATGCAAAAAGCATTTCATAAAATCCAACACTTGGATGATTTTTTAAAACTCACTGTAAAATATCAATAGACAAACTTTCTTAACCCACAAAGGTTACCTACCTAAACACACTTCTTAAAAGTGAGGTGCAACTGATTCCATATCTGACATCATATGCAAAATTCCATACAAATTAACTGAAAGGCAAAATCTTATAATTTTGAGAATATGATGACATAAAACCACCTCCAGGGTAGAGAACAGTTGTTTAAAGGAAATTAGCAAACAAATATAAAATGCTAACCATAAAACTAGACATTGATTAATTTAATCGCATTAAAATATGAACATCTGCTCATCAAAAGACAACATAAAAACTGGGGGAAAATGTCATAAATTGAGAATCATTAGTAACACACAGCTAACAAAAGACAGCGTGGAGGAAATACAGAATATCAATAATAAAAAGACATGTAACTGAATCAAAAACAAATATTTAAAGAACATTCTTTGTCTTTAATGCCCCATAATCACCTTCAGGTCTGATTCATCTGGAGCTGTCACTCGTGAGGCCAGAGCTGTGACTTTGTATCAGGTCTCAGGAGTTAGGTTGTCATTTCTTTTTTTTTTTTAAGATTTGTTTTTTTTGGATGTAGACTATGTTTAAAGTCTTGATTAAATTTGTTACAATATCAAAAAAAAAAAAAATAAAGAACATTCTTGTCCTTTTGTTGGATGATAGTTTCACAGGGGGTTTTTCAGATTTTTTTTTATCACAACGTTTTATAACTTATGCTTATGTTACATGTTCTTTTATAGGTATCAAACCTAGAAGATGTCTCTTAATTCATATAAATTAAAATTCCAGAGTTCATGCAAGCCTCAGGTTTGGTGTGATCCAGAAGATCATTGATGTTCCCAAAGAGACGCTTCTGCACCGTGCCTTCCCCTGGGCGTCTTCATTCAGCCTGGCTTCCTTCTTGGTCGCCAGGCGGTGTCCAGAGGCTCTCAACTCCGCTTCGCCATCCTCAGCGAGTGAGAGGGGGCTCAAGGACCCAGCAGTCCTGGTGGGATTAGCAGGGCGCCTGCCTGGGTCCCCTGGGGCAGTCCCTCTCTGCCCGGAACAGACCTGTGCCCAGGAGATGGACCGTGCTCACTGCCCGGCACAGACCTTCGCCCTCCGTCTGAGGCCGGCAGAGCTGCTTCCCCGCGTACGTGGATCTCCAGGAACAGACACCGGGATGGAGACGCGACCCCCAGTGTGAAGCCCCCTCCCGCCCCCCGGAGCAGCAGTCAGGACGGAGGGGTCGGGGCCGCCGGGAACCGCTGGAGACCCAGCCGGGCCCGCCGGCGGCAGGAGGCGGCCTCTGGAGGGCGGCAGAGAGCACCCGAAAGCCGCGCGCTCCCGCCACAATCCAGAAGGCCCTCCCCGAGGGCCCGGCCCCCGGCGGGGCGCGGCCGTGCGGCTCGAGGGGCGGAGGCGCCCCACGCTCTGCCCCCCGCTCGCTCCGGGAGGAGCACGGGGCACCTCTGAAGCGGGCACACTCTCAGGGCGAGGGCACACGCTGTTCTCAAAGTGCAGAACTTCACCTCCACCCGGGAAAGCGGCGAAGGGGAAACGGCCGCCTTGGGCTCCAGGGAGCAGGTCGCCTCCCGGGACCATCCCCCACGCCCACCCGGTCACGGCGGCCAGGAGATCAGCCCCCTCGTTTCTCTGGGGAAGCACCAGACACGGGCCTGTCCCCGTGGTGGGCCCGCTGACCAGCCCGGCTGGACCCCCCTCCTCTCCGAGCAAAGGTCAGGACCCTCTGCCCCGAGCCCAGCTGGACCCGGGGCTGGGGCGTGCCCTGCTGGGGCGGGCGGTTCAGAGACGAGCCGGGAGCAGAGAAGGAACAAGCAACCCCTGGGACGCCCCAGCAGGGTCGGTGCTCAGGACGACACGCAGCCTGCTCTGGGGTCTCCGTCGGGATGCACTGTGTTACAGGGACCCCAGCGGGCACCCCGGTTTTCAGTCGCCGTTGGGCTTGGATGTTGATGGGTCGTGACCCAGGCAGGCTCACAGGCTTTCGTCACAACTGCTGGCTACGGCAGAAACAGTCTGGGGTCACCCACAGTCCCTCATGCATCCCCAGGATCAAATGATATTAAAGACCCTGAGTGCTTGGGCTGGGGGTTCTAGATCCGTTGGTGCTTCCCTGGTGGATCAGATGGTGAAGAATCTGCCCACAGTGAGGGAGACCTGGCTTCTCCCCCTGGCTCAGGAAGATCCCTGGAGGAGGACGTGGCAACGCCCCCAGTGCCCTTGCCTGGGGAAGCCCATGGACGGGGGAGCCTGGCCATTCGGTCCGTGGGGTCACAGAGGGTCGGACATGCTGAGCGACGACACGACTGCCGCTGCCAGACCCACGGAAATGAACGAGCCAATGCTAAGCGCGAACTATCCTAAAAGAGCACCGTCTTTAGCCTTTAATTCACTTATTTTTAAATGGATCTTTAGAAGTGTGTTCCGTTTTATGAAAGTGAAAGTGTTTGTCCTTCAGTTGTGTCCGAGTCTCTGTGACCCCCTGGACTGTAGCCTGCAGGCTGCTCCGTCCCTGGGGTTCTCCAGGCAAGAACACTGGCGTGGGTGCGCTTTCCTCCTCCAGAGGGTCTTCCCTGTGTCAATCCCAATCTCCCAATTTCTCTCACCCCCTTGCTTTTTTTCTCCACACACACAAAAAAAGCAAGTGTGCTCCAGTTGACATTCCTACACATTGTGTTTAAATATATCTTCTCCCAACTTGCTGACATTAGGAAAAGGATATTTTTAATCTTCGTGTAGCATAAGCACAAGAAAAAAAAATGTAGAAGCTGGCTTTTTGATTAATAACACCCTGATAATATAAAACACATATTAGAAGTGCTTCATCCTCTTGTGTTTTCTACTTTGTACAGTGGGACTATTTTCCTAATGGTCTCGAGAAAAAGACAAAATAACCAGAAACACTGAAAAACTCCTTTTGAGACTCTGGAGGTAGGACTTGCCAGCTTCTGAACTAACAGAGAGCCCCCAAGACCCACTTTATCCCGAAGACGAGCGGCTCGCCCACAGAAGCAGAACGAGTGCCTTTTCTCTCGTCTTCTTGGGAACAGTAGATGCAGTTCAAGCTTTGCTTCAGTTCCCTCTGGGGAGAGGGCGTGAAATCACAGGCTCTGGTCTCCCGCTCTCCTCTCTTCCCGAGCCCTGGGTATTTTTCATTTGTCTATTTTACACAGGGTAGTTTACAGCTTCCAATCCCAAACTCCTGATGTACCCCTCCCCACTCCCTTTCCCCTTTGGTAACCATAAATTCATTTCCTATGTCTGTGAGTCTCTTTCTGTTTTGTAAATAAATTCATTTATATCATTTTTTAAGCAGCACTATTTACAATAGCTAGGAAGCAACCTAGATGTCCATCAACAGATGAATGGGTTGTAGTACATACATACTATGGAATATTACTCAGCTATAAAAAAAGAATGCATCTGAGTCAGTCCTAATGAGATGCATGAACCTAGAGCCTATTGCACAGGGTAAGGTAAGTCAGAGAGAGAAAGACGAATGTTGTGTATTAAGGCATGTGTATGTGGAATCGAGAAAAGCAGTGCTTATGAACCTATTTGCAGGCAGCAATGGAGACACAGACGGAGGGAACAGAACTGTGGACCCAGCGGGGGAGGAGAGGCTGGGACAAGCTGAGAGAGGAGCAAGGAAGCATGTCCATCACCAGTGGGGATCCGAAGGGCGATGCAGGGAGCTCAGCCCCTTTCCATCATGTTTTAGACGTCACATGTAAGTGATATTATGTGGTCTTTGTCTTTCTTTAACATACTTCACTTCATATGATCAAATCTAGGTCCACCCATGTTACTTCAAATGGCATTATTTCATTCTTCTTATGGCTGAGTAATATTTCACTGTGTATTTGCATCACATCTTCTTTATCTGTCTTGTCGATAGACATTTAGGTTGCTTCCATGTCTTAGCTATTGTGAACAGGGCTTCTGTGAACACTGGGGATGCAGACATCTTTTCAAATTAGAGCTTCTGTCTTTTCTGGACACGCCCAGGAGTGGGATTGCAGGGTCACACGGCAGCTCTGTTTTCAGTTTTCTGAGGATGCCCACTCTGTTCTCCACAGGGGCTGCACCAAGTTACTTTCCCACCAGCGATGTTGGCGAGCTCCCTTTTCTCCACACCCACAAAGAGGTTTTCTTAACAATCTGTAATGGATGCTGGATTTTGTCAGATGATCTTTCTGTATCTAATGAGAGAGCATACCATTTTTCTTTCTTAGTTATGGTAAATTTGATTAATTGATTTGTTTTTTTACAATTCACCAGTAAAATTTTGCAAACCCAGTGTTTACTTGGGGAAGGTTTCTCATTTGTTTCTGAGACAGGTCTAGAGCCTCTCAGATCTGGAAATTCTTCTGGAGTCAAGTTTTCCCTTGTTAGACATTTATCATTTTTTAGCAACACTATCACAGACTCTTTTTCTGTTTTTCTATTGGTTGCTTTCTTTGTCACCAACTCACAGCTCTTATTTGATTATTTCTTTCTGCTCTGGTTAGGTTTCAGTTCTTTTCAGACCTGCTTGTGGTGAGAACCTAGATTACAGAAAACATTTCTCATTTTCCAACGTGAGCAGTTAGAGCCGCCAGATTGCCTTTAATCCAGTTTATCTCCTTAGTGAAGGAAAGTTACATGGCTCAAAATAGCCTGGAGTTAAAACTCCTCTCCAGGTCCTCCCCACCATTCTATGAAAAACAAAGAACACTCTCACCCGAAGAAAGAAAATGGACATTAATGCTGATTACGCCCAGTTCCCAGCGGGTCCAGCCTCTGGCTGATCTCCAGAATTCTTTGTCCCACCCATAACCCGAACAACCCTGGAGAACAGGCCCCCTTAAGACAGTCGGTTTCCACATAAGGGTCTGTGCTGCAGCTCACTGGTCTGACTGCCGGCCCTTCTCGCCTCCTTAGAGGGGAACTGTTCCTTAAAGCGCCGGTCTCCTCCTTCCTCCGAACCCCGCCTTCTCTGACTCCCTACCCTACACGTTGCACACGTTTCCACCTTGTTTTCATTTTCAGGCATTTCCGTTCTTCTCAGTCTCCCGGGTGATTCTGCTCACTTTCCCTCAACCCCCGTTCCCCTCTGTTCCTCGGCGAGGTCATCCCTGTCGATGCAGAGTTCACTGGCCCTTCTGCCCCCCCAACCTCCCCTGGAGCCCAGACATTGAGCGTTCTCTCTGCCGTTTTGCTTCATGCTCATCCCCACTCGGTTATTTTTCAGTGGGCTTTGCTGAAGCTCCCGGTGTGTTTACTCTTCAAGAGAGGGGATCAGCCCACGAATCACACCGGAAAACTGCCCGCGGGCGAGGACGGCGGCCCACCAGGCAGACGGAGCCGGGCGCTCACTGCCGGCTGCCTCGGTGGAAAGGTTGAGTGACTGCAGGAAGCAGAGAGTGAGGGAGCGGCCGGGGAGGTGGAGGGTGGAGACAGGGGACACGGGCTCCCCTTCTCCCCCCGCACGGAGCGGCCGGGGAAATGGAGGGTGGAGACAGGGGACACGGGCTCCCCTTCTCACCCCGCACGGTTTCAGGGTCCGGCCTGGTCCAGAGCCCAGGACAGCAGGAGGAACTGCATCTAGGGGACCACCCAGTCCAGGCCTGGGCCCTGTGGGTGTGGAAAGAGCTGATGAGCCTCCGGAGGAAGTGAGGACAGCAGGCAGGGCTGGGGGCCTGGACTCAGAGCCACACGGGGGGCAACCCCCCACTTACCAGGAGGAGAGCCCCCACTGAACAGATTCTATACGAGGGTGTTTATCAAAGGAAAAAAAGAAGATAATTATATGGCATGAAAGATGGCCCCTTCCTTCCGCTAGATGGAGGTTCTCTGGAGCAGCTGTTAGGCATAAACCTTCGTCTTGTTTATTACGGATGACAGCTCGGCGCGCTCACCAGAGATTGCACACCAAATAACAAGCGCCCAGCTCACAGCTCGGCCTGTTCCATGGCCTGAGTCTCACGACAGGAGATGGCTTCTGTTTTTAATCAGCTTTCTTCAAAGCAGTTGGCTAATTCGGGGACAAAGAGAAAGGGATCAACAACCTGGGAGGCCGGGACTAGGTGGACTCGAGGCCCGACGGGAAGAGCGGGTGGCGGGCGGCCAGGCGTCCACACCGCTCCGGCCTCTGGACCACAGACCCCCAGGGAACGTCCACAGCAAGGGGAGCGCCCTCAGCTGGAACCATCCAGCTCCCTGGGCCTGAATTGCAGTTTGGCCATGGATGCCCAGAGCTGTCAGCGCAGGGGCCGTGCGAGCCCCCAACCCCAACTGGCCCTGGGGGTGTAGGTTGCGGCGCTGCAGTGGCCCTGGGGTGTGGGGTGTGGCGCTGCAGTGGCCCTGGGGGTGGGGGGTGCGGCGCTGCAGTGGCCCTGAGGGTGTGGGGTGCGGCGCTGCAGTGGCCCTGGCGGTGGGGGGTGCGGCGCTGCAGTGGCCCTGGCGGTGGGGGGTGCGGCACTGCAGTGGCCCTGGGGGTGTGGGGTGCGGCGCTGCAGTGGCCCTGGGGGTGTGGGGTGCGGCGCTGCAGTGGCCCTGGTGGTGGGGGGTGCGGCACTGCAGTGGCCCTGGGGGTGTGG